CCACAGAACTCTCATGGTTGGAAAAGACCTCTAAGATCACTATGTCCAACTGTCAACCCCCTGGTCCCCCAAGGGAAAAAAAAAATAATAAAAAAATGCCCACTAGAGCATGTCCTGAAGTGCTTCCTCTACACGTTTTTTAAACACCTCAGGATGGGGACTCCACCGCCTTCCTGGACAGCCTGTCCCAACGCCTGACTACTCTTTCAAGTAAATACATTTTTTCCTAATATCTAGTCTAAACCTCCCCCAGCCATTTCCTCTTGTCTTACCATTATTTACTAGAGAGAAGAGGCCAACACCTGCCTCCACCTTTCAGGTACTTGTAGAGAACTATCAGCTCTCCCCTCAGTCTACTCTTCTCCAAACAACACAATCCCAATTCCCTCAGCCGCTCCTCACAGGACTTGTTCTCCATCCCCTTCACCAGCTTCTTTGCCATTCTCTGAACTCGCTCCAGCAACTCAACATCTTTCTTGTAGAGAGGGGCCTAGAACTGAACACAGCACTTGAGGTACAGCTTCACCAGTGCAAACTGATACATGCTAATGTGAACACCTAGCCATTATAACACAGATATGCACACTGAAAATTGTTCAAGAGGAAAACTACAGCATTAAAGTATTATATGAAGTAGGAAAAAATGTTCAACTAACTTATCGACACAGGTTAAATACCCTCTGACCAGATTTTTTTTTTTTTTTGTAAAGCACAAAATAGTCCCTTATCTGAGGGCATTAATATGATTTCATCTGATAGAAGAAAATTTAAAATTAGTATTAGTGAGCAAACTGTAAAAGAAAAATGACAATGTAGAGAATAAAATTAGTAAACCAGTGACACCCCGAAGATCATTCTTACTATGCAAGTGCTGAAATTTGCATTTTAAAACTTCTTAAGCAGAGAAAATACATTCATCTTCAACTGCACCGTATCTCAACAACCTCTTGAATTTTAAGAGTGCACAGACCACTAGTCCTTCCCCTCCTCTAATCTTTGGTATAAGAGTATCTAAAAGATACTACAAGTAGGATATTCAATGAGACTACCCTTTCTCATCAAGTTTGGTCAAGATAGAAAGGAATACAAGAATCATGGCAAAAATTTTAGAGCTTACCAACTTCAACAAAAATGGTATTAACCATCCCATACATTCATATCATCCCATCACTGACACTTTTCAGATCCTATACATCTTTGCTGGAAGTTATTACTCTTAAAAAGATGTAATGATTATTTTTTTTAGTACCTCTACTTGACTCTTCTTGACTCTGAAGTATCATGTACATACATTAATAAAATTCACAGTGTTTACTGAGTACCCAAAGAACTTACACCAACTAAGTGGAGGGAATAGCAACATTAAGATGACCTTCAAAGAGCAGCATAAGACTAGCTGCAATTAAAAAAGTCTTGCAATACAATAATCTCTTTGCCACAGCAAAGTTTCTGCTGATGCAAATATAGGAAAGCAACATTGTGGAAAGATTCTTTTGCCATTCTTGCTCAAATAAACAGCTTCAAATCAAAAAAGAATATGCTGCCTTTATGCCTTTAATTCCATCTCTCATCTACACAAGTAGATGGTTTCACAGTACATGCCTGTGGAAGCTCAGCACTCAAAATTAAAATGTGGCTGATGTAAAATTCAAAGAATCAGGAATAGATGTCAACAGTGAAAGACTCTTCCATTACTTGAATTAACAATAACAAAAAATTATCCTAGTTACTCCTGATGACTCCTGATACAGGCTTTAAAATTATATCTGTTCACCTCCCGTTGTCAAGAGACAAAAAGAGCTACTCCTATTATTATGTTATTTTTAAATACAACATTGAAAACCTGAAGAATGGACTTCGGGATCCATTTTTACCACTTTCAAATCAAATGACCCAAAGATTCAAGTTGGGGGACCAGGAATCAAGAAAATTAGTTTTTTTAAGTGTTGGCTGGTTTAATGTATCCTGCATGCGTTCAAAAACTGCTGCCATTGTATTTTGAGAGAATTCTGCAATAAAACAGCGTATTTTATATTCTATTGACAGTTTATTTTATAATTTTCCAACTGTGCTTAAGTAATGCCTCTCTATATTGCTACACTACAGCCTTGATTAGAGTATTCCCATTTTGCCTTGTGCAGGGTAAGAGTACCAGAACTTCACAGACAAAGTGAATGAAATCAATGAAATGGCTTCAAGAATCATACAGTACTCTACTGAAGCAGAAGAACCAAAGAGAATCTATTCCCTTGAGTTTGTAATAACAACGTGAAGCACTACATATAAAAATGAAAGTGTACCAGTATTTTGCAGGAAAAGGCTTCAGCAAAGAAACTGTCCTCATAGCAAATGAAGGCCATGTTTCATCTCGGTAACCTTTATGGACATAGCATTCTACTCAAATACAGTACAGTGAAAGATCAGAATCACAGGCTGTTTATAAAGGTAACAAATACATCAAACTTACAACTGAAGTTTGCAAGTAGAAGTGCATGCCTAAATACATTGTGTTGCCTGCAAACCTACGTGAAATATGTATTGTATGATACTCATGTAAAGAGTAGATCAGTTTTTTCAGTTACTAGAATCAATACTTTTCATCACTAGAGTAAACGTTAAACAAACACAAGCCAGAAGTGCTGCCCCCCATCTT